TTTATAAGTTGAATACTTGCAAAGATCTTGATTTTTCAGGAAGTTTCTTAAATGTGTCCTTTCAAACTATATCTCGATAAAACTGTTATTTTTTCAATCTGATGCAAAAATTTGTCCCACTTTAAAGAAATCTGATCTTAAACACCAATTGTTTACTGAATGATTGTGTATTTTATAAATAAAATCATATTAAAAATGCAACTTGGGGAGTTCTCCACTTATAGGAACTCTGCAATGAGCCTTTTTTAAAAGTAAACAATATTTTTATAAGTTGAATACTTGCAAAGATCTTGATTTTTCAGGAAGTTTCTTAAATGTGTCCTTTCAAACTATATCTCGATAAAACTGTTATTTTTTCAATCTGATGCAAAAATTTGTCCCACTTTAAAGAAATCTGATCTTAAACACCAATTGTTTACTGAATGATTGTGTATTTTATAAATGAAATCATATTAAAAATGCAACTTGGGGAGTTCTCCACTTAAAGGAACTCTGCAATGAGCCTTTTTTAAAAGTAAACAATATTTTTATAAGTTGAATACTTGCGAAGATCTTGATTTTTCAGGAAGTTTCTTAAATGTGTCCTTTCAAAGACAGCATTGGGGAATGCTAAAGCTATATTTTTAAATTTTAGTTGAATTTTCAAAAATTTTTATAGCAGCTGAAAGTATTTGAGTATGTAATAAAGTTGAAAAAAATTTAAAAAGAAATGATGTGTATCAAATTATCTGATCCTGAACTGAAACAATATTTTGGGGGAGGAGGGAATATAGTAAAAATATGAGTCTTTTTCAAAACAAAGAAATGAATTAGAAAATATCTTTAAGAATCTCACACCCTTACATTTCAAAGTTTCTCAAATTCTTACCTTCAACCTCAAAGAACTCTTCAAACACTTTGCCTGAGTACTCTATAGGTTCTTTGAAATAAACTGTGGCATTGTTTTCTTGCTATGAAGAACAGTCAATAAATCAGTCAAGAACATTTATTAAAAAACCCCCATGCACAGATGCACATATTGGACACCTGGGGAGTTATACAGGAAGTAGAAAACATAGCACCTGACCTCAAGGTGGAGATGGTGGAGAAAAGACCAACACAAATCATGTAGAAGAGCAATAACAACACATTTCCTTTATTTCACCTTGGAGAAGATAATGTCAACAAAGAGTACAGATTACTTGGATACTGCTTACTTCAAGTTTTCGTAAAAAGGAAGAGTAGGCAGGAGAACAAAGGAATAAAAATAGGATCAGAGGTGACATAAGGCAAGGTTAAAGAAAAAAAAAAGGAAAGAAACAAAACACCTGGAATGTCTAGAAGTGTTATGACCACCTAACAAAATGATAGTTTCAAGACTTATTTTTCATTACTCCCTGAAAATTGTCAGGCTATAATAGTGAGACCAATGGAATTAAAGTCCCTTTCTCTCAAAGTGCACATTGACAATGCCTCATAATATGGCACATACATGAAATCACAGAAGTTCCAGGTGCAAGATAGTTATTTACATGCTGATGCCTTGCAGCTGACCATTTTTAGAAGGTATCAGCACCATCTCAAGAAGACCCAGTCACCAGATCTGCAAAGTGGACCATATAATGTCCTACTTCCCAATTACAAAAGGAACACAGCCTGTCCATAGCCTCCTTTCCTTATTCTTCACCAGTGAAATATTATCATGGTACTTTGTCTATCTTAAAGTTTCAATAACAGCCAGGAAAACATAGTTTCCAAGAAACAATTGAAGTGGTAAATAACGAGAATTTTGCCACTGATGGAAAAACTATTTTATCGGTTCCTGCATTAAATGATTACTTACTGAAACTCCAAGTATGGAAAGTGATGGTCAGACCAGATCTTGTGGAAATGCCAGTTTGAAGGAGATTCTCAATAGAAAGGTAAGTTCAAGCAGTAGAGTTTTACAAAAGACTTTGGAGAGGTGACTCATTTCTAAGAGTTACCTCTAACCCACTGATAGTGTTTTCTCACTGAAATTTAATCTCTCTCTGAAAATTCTATTCACTGGTTCTTAGGACTTTGTGAAACAAGTTTAACTTCCCTCTTTAATATCATAGCCCTTCAATTATTTGAAGGTAGTTTTCGTGACCTCTCTTTCAACCCCATCATGAGGTACCTCTTGGCCAGACTAAATATCCCAGTTTCTTTCACTGTTCCTCATCTGACTTGGTCTTACCTTCTTTTATCCCCCAAATCTCTCCTCTCTGAATGTGTACCAGTTTGTCCATAGCCCTCTTAGAGGACTATATCCAGAACAAAACATAAGATTCCAGATGTGCTCTAAAGAACACAAAAACAAGTAAGAAAATCCATGCCTCCATTTTAGACACTAAAATTCTATTGACAAATATCACTGCAAATTGAAATCTCTTTTTGGCAGCCCCATCAGCAATGACTTGTAATTTTGCCTCCTATCAAGTAAAAGCCCCAGGACTTTTATACATGTACTACTGCTAAGCTACATATCTATCATTCTTAATCAGGGCAGCTAAATTTCAGAATCCATTTCAGGATTTTAAATTTATCTCTGTTAGATTTCAATCTTGTTAGATTTACCTATTTACAGCCCATCATAACATTCTAAGATTCTACTCCAATTTTGGGTTGGCATTCCTAACTTCAAGTAATAAACAGATTGGCGAGGCATGCTCCTGGAAACCTCCCTTTATGGCAGCCATAGTTCGATGAATCAGTACTTCTTGTGTGCAATTATTTAAACAATAATATCTACCTAATAATAATGTGAGCCTGAACATTCATCACAGGGATATCATGAAGGAACTTATCAAGTGCCTCAATGATATATTTGTTTTACATCCAAATTCAAGGATACTTTTAATGATTCCACTCCACAGCACACTTTTCATCTTGAGAGGTAGAATTTTCCAATATCAAGGAAAAGAAATTATAAAGAATTATCATGAGTGAGAGTTGACATAATCTGCATGAATTATGCTCTCAAAAAATGCAGAATATCTGTAGAAGAAAGGACGGAAGGGAGGGCAGCTAACCCTAAGCCATTAAAGTTTGCATCCTCTCCTTATAAGACTTCCTTCTACCATATCCCTCTCCCTAGACTTCAGACCACATCTAATCCTTCTTTGCTTTTTTAATATCTGAAGCAGTGCTGTGCAATAGGAATAATAATGAAAGACATATGCATAATTTAAAATTTTTAGTGGCCACCTTCAAAGAGTAAATGAGAAAAAAGATAAAATTGTATTTTTAATTATTTTTTAATCTTACATATGTAAAATTCACTTTTTTGTATAGTCATATAAATTGTATCACATACACAGATTTGTGTAAACACCAGCAAAATTAGGATGCAGAACAATTCTATCACCCTCCAAAATTTCCTCATGCCATCCCTTTGTATTTAAACTTTCCCACCATCATTCATCCCTGGCAATCTCTGATCTGTTCTGTTAAATTTTGCATTTTCTAGAATGTCATACAAATGGAATCGTATACTATGTATAACTGGCTACTTTCACTTAGCATAAGGCATTTGAGATGCAGCCAAATAGTTTGCATGTATCAACAGCTTATTCCTTTCTATAATTAACTAGTATTCCATTGTACCAATATACCATGGTTTGTTCATCCATCTACCCAATGAAAGACATTTGGGTTATTTTCAGTTTTTGATAGTTATGAATAATGTTGCTATTAACATCTAAAAAACGTAAGAGAACTATTCTATTTGTGTTTTTGTGAAAATACAAACTTTCATTTCAAGAGAAACAATAATCACTTCTAGATAAACACTTAAGAATGAATTCTAAGTCATATGGAAAAGTGTCTTTAACCATAAAACAAACTGCCAAAGTTTTTTCCTGAATGGCTATTCCATTTAATATTCACACCAGCGATGCATGAAAGTCCCAATTGCTACACACTCTCCCCAACATTTGATGTGGTTAATTTTTGTTGTTATTATTGTTGTTGTTTTTAGTCCTTCTAATAGGTGTGTCATGACATCTCATTATGATTTTAATTTGCATTTCCCTAGTGACTAATGAAGTTGAGCATCTTTTCATGTGCTTATTTGCTATCTGTATATCTTTTTTGGTGGAGTGTCTGTTCAGATCTAGTCCCCCCTTATTTATTGCTATTTGTTTTCTTTTGTTGACATTTGAGAGCTCTTTATTTATTCTTGGAATTTGTCCTCTGTTGGATACATGATTTCCAGCTACTCTCTCCTATTGTGTCTTGTCCTCTCATTCTCTTAAGTGTCTTCAGCTGAGCAAAAATTTTTAATTTGGGTGAAATCCAATTTATCAACTTTTTTATTTTATGGATTGTGTTTTTGATGTTTTAGCTAAGAACTCATTGCCCAACCCAAGTCACAAACAATTCCTCCTGTTTTCTTCTCAGAGGTTAATGGTTTGAAATTTTATATTTAAGAATGTGATTCATTTGAATTAATTTTTGTAAATGATTTAAAATATTGGTAAGGCTCCTTTTTTCTTTTTACATATTGATGTCCATTTTTTTAAAAGACTCCTTTTTTCATTGAAGTGCTTTTGCATTTTTGTGAAAAATCATTGACCACATTTATGTGGTTTTATCATTGGATCTGTGTTTATTCTTTTGCCAATACCATACTGCCTTGAGAGTAAGCCTTAAAATACTAATCAGTGTAATTCCTCTAATTTGTGTTTTTCTTTTTCAAAATTATTGTGGCTATTCTAATTCTTTTGCCTTTCCAAATAAATTTTAAAATCATCTTGTCAATATCTATCAAATCCTGCTAGGATTTTGATGGGAATTGCATTAAAACTGTATGTTGATTTAGAGAAAATTGACAGCTTAACTATATTGAGTCTTCCAGTCCATGAATACGATGTATCTCTCCATTTATTTATTGAGGTCTTCTTCAATTCCTTTCACCTACATATAGATCCTGAATATATCTTATTAGATTTACAACTAAGTATTTCTTTTTCTTTTTCTTTTTTTTTGGGGGGGGGGGTTGTAACTGGTGTTATTTTTTAACTTTCTGTTTCCAGTTGTTCATTGCTAGTATAAATAAATATAATTGATTTTCCTGTTGACCTTGTATCCTGCAACCTTGGAAAGCACACTTATTAGTTCTAGAAGTTTTTGTAAATTTCTTGGGATTTCCTACATAGACAATCATGTAATCATGCAAACAGGGGCAGTTTTACCTCCTTATTTTCAAATCCCTATGCTTTTTATTTCTTTTTCTTACCTTCCTACAACTTCCAATACAATGTTATATAGGTACTGTGAAAGTGTACATCCTTGCCTAGTTCTCAATCTTAGAAGAAAAACAGTCAGTCAGGGCTGGCCCGGTGGTGCACTCGGTAGAGTGCGGCGCTTGGGAGCGTGGTGGCGCTCCCGCCGAGGGTTCAGATCCCATATAGAGACCGGTCCGCTCACTGGTTGAGCGCGGTGCGGGTGCGACACCGAGGGTTGCGATCCCGTTACCGGTCACAAAAAAAAGACAAAAAGGAAAAAAAAAAACAGTCAGTCAATCACCATATATGATGTTAGCTGAATGTTTTTTGTAGATGTCCTTTATCAGGTTCAAGTTGAGGGAATGTCCTTCTATTCCCAGTCTGCTAAGAGTTTTACCCATTAATGCTAGTTCTACCCTAGCCATTATTCTACATGATAATCCCTAAATCATTTTCAGATGACTATCACATCTTCTTTTAGTGTTCTCTTCAGGTTAAATATGTCCAGATTTTTCAGTGGTTTATAATAAGATAGTTTTCAGAAAATTAAGCTACATGTTTGTTATGTAGGAAGTAACCTGCTGTGTTGTTGATTCTTAGAAACTTAGACTAATTAGGAATGGGGTGTAGTGTCCCATCTTCAGATGTTATAATATGTTTTAAATGAACTCCTAACCTTGTATTTTTGTATACTTGTTTTGGTGCATAAAATAACAATATTTTAAGCCAAATGCTATAAATTAGCATTACCTTATTGAGCAATAAATATTCTACTGCAGAAAAATTTAGTCTTAGTAATCTTCTAATGCATATTCACAAAATGTTTCATTACTGCAATTTATTATCAATTCTTTTTTAATGACTGCCATGACTCTGACACTATAAAAAGAAAGTTTTCTCAACCTTTCTATGATTGGTATAGTTTTAAAAAGTAGTTAGGAATTAAATACAATTTTAAAACAAATCGTAATAATCGCTGTCAAGAAATAGTAAAAAAATGGGAAAATAAAAATAAAGGAAAATTTAGCAAATAAACTTGCTTTTTACACATACATATACACACATCACACACATACACACCCTTGAGTTAAATGTAGCTACTGGAATATTATGTATTTACGTTTCATTTTCTATAAACTACATAACATAGTAAGATGGATAAAAATGTTGTTTTAAATGTACAGAGTAACTAGGTATGCATTTACAGAGAAAAAAGAGACACTGCCATTTGGAAGACACTGTGGAAAAAATCCTGAGATGTGAAGGAATAGTAAAAAAAAATAAATAAGGTAATCAATTATTCTAGGAAGCTTAAGAAAAAGAGCATATGACTCTAAAGATCTGGGTTAAATTGGCAGGATAAAAGAAAACTTTTTCCCATTTTCTAAAGAGATAACTTTAATTTTTAATTCATTAAATCCTCAAAAAAAATATTAATCATATACACTATGTTAAGTAGTGTCAGTGACAGAAAAATAGTTAAGAGATACTGCTCCCAATAAAACAATCTAGAAGATGTGATGTTTGAGATAAAACACAAAAATAACTATAAATAATTGATTCAGGATAGGATCACCAATGAATACTAAAACCATTAGGCAAAATATTGTTGGAGAAGAGGATACGGTCTCAAAGTAAAACCCCAGGGTTTACTAATTAATTGTAATAGAGAAAAAGAAACTTTAAAATGAAAAAGTCTGGTAGACATCACCTTAATTTAACCAAGTGATCAAATTTAGCAGCACCGACAAAGGAACAAACCAACATTATGGACTCTGTGATGACTCCACTGAGAAGGATACAACATCGACCTATTTAGAAATCTTAAAAAGGTTTAACCTGAATACAATCATGAAGAGAAAACTAGACAAAACAAATTGTGGGACACTCTATAAAACAACAGGCCTTAACTCTTCAAAACCACTAATACCATGAACAACAGAAGAAAAAAAAATGTAAGAGAACTATTCTAGATTAAAGAAAATTGAAGAGATGTGAGCAGTAAATACAGTACATGATTTTTCACTGGATCATAGATGGAGAGGGCTAAAAGGACATTAAGGACAACTGGGGAAATATGAATATAAACTACATATAGGTTGAGTATCTCTTACCTGAAATGCCTAGGCCCAGAAGTGATTCAGATTTTGGATTTTTTCAGATTTCGGATTTTTTCAGATTTTGTAATATTTGCAGATACTTAACTAGTTGGGCATTCCTAATCTGAAAATCCAAAATCAGATTGTGGATTTTCAGATTAGGGATGCTCAACCTGTATCAATGTTAAATTTCTTGAGCATGATAATGGCATTGAAATTCTTATGGGTGCTGGTTGGTATCTTCTTGGTCTTCCCACTCCAGAGGTCACCTGCAGCTCTGAATTCCCGTACACCAGAGTTTCTCAGCCGCGGCACTATTGACATTTGCACCCGGCTAATTCTTGTTGTAAGGAGCTGCCCTATGAACTGTAG